TGTTGTGAGCCGCCCCGAGGCTTCGGTGAATGGGGCAGCATAGAAATAAATAAATAAAATGTCTGTTGTTCTTTTGTAGGTCCTTTATTTCTTAGAGCCAGTGCGTTGCTTGGTCCAGAATCATTTGTGCCAGAAAGAGTTTTGTCTCAGCTGTGAACTGGGCTTCTTATTCCACATGCTGGACTTGTCCAGGGGTGATCCTTGTCAGGTAAAGATGGGCATATGGAAGGTGTCATGCAGAACTTTGATAAAAAGGTATTCCTAGTAGAGGTAAGAACACAGGAAAAGTCTGTACGAGTGCACCAGGAGTTCGATTATCCTTTCAAGGCAAGAGTGTGAAGGCAAGTGGCAGGAGATATGGCTGCCTGTCCTGGGATGAGCCACTGATGGGTCAGGACTGCACCCGTGCACTGCTGAGCTCAGTGGGGCTCTGTTGGGAGAGGGACAATGGCTCTTCCTTGCACTCTTCTTCCCATCCTATGAAGATGTGTAGGGCAGATGCATGTAGCCACAGCACAGTCTCGTTGCCATCAGAACTAGCAGCTTCCTTCCTCTTTTGTAATACCACCCTTTTATGATACACAGCAGGCAGGAGAGCCATAGGGCAGAAATAGGTTGTGGGTCTCCACAATCAAAAGGGTGCTAACTGTGCCCTGGACACCTCTATTCAATCCTATTTTAACATAGTATTTGCCAAGAGGACTAAGTAGGACTGAAATGTAGGGTGGAAATTGGGTGCTTTTCTTCTTGCCTGGCTCAGCTGGTTGCCCCAGACCTTGTGTCTACTTCACAGTAGTAGACCTTGTGTCTAAACACTTGTGTCTACTTCTACTTTTTGTCTGCAGGTTTGTTTGTGAGTAGCTTAAGAGATCCATCCTTCTCAATTTGTTATAGGCTTCCCTGCAAGCCATAAGTATTTCCTGTTCAATACTTTGCCTGCCTATCCATAAGTAGCCCCTTCCCCATAAACAGGCTTTTTCCTGAGCAAGTTGCAGTAATTGTTCCTACTGGGGAAATGCTTTGGGCCCCTGAACCTTGTGTCTGATGAAGCCACCTGGGTCAGTTGTCAGAAGGAGACATCTGCCTGCCAGTGTCCCCCTTCAGTCCCTCCATCAGCCAGGGTGCTGTTCCATAAAGCCCTGCATGGCTTAGGACCAAAGTACTGTTGGAACACCTCTGCTAACTGTGATCTACTCAGACACTGTGCTCAATCTCTGAAGCCTTTCTCCAAGTGCCAACTCCAAGGGAAGTACGGAGGGGGGCAACTAGGGGAAAGGCTTTCTTGGTGGTGGCCCCCCATCTATGGAATACTCTTCCTACCATGGCTGGCTGGTGCTGACTCTGTCATCTTTTTAGCGCTAGGTTAAGATGACCCTCTTTTCTGTAGCTTTTAAGGATTTACTCAGCCAGGTCTTTGCAGAGTCACTGCTTTTATCATTATTTGTATTGTTTATTCTTATCACCTGGCATTTTAATACAAGGCAAGCAATGGTTCTTTCATTTCCTCTCTCGCAGGGCAGTAACTTTCTGCGTGCTTTTCGCACCATTCCAGAAGCAGCTGCCTTGGGACTGATCTTGGCTGATTCCGATGAGGCTACAGGGAAAGTGAATTTAGGCCGTTTGATTCAGAGTTGGAACCGTTTCATTTTGACCCAGCTCCATCAGGAAACTCAAGAACAAGAGGGCCCTCAGGCATACCGGGGCATTGGCAGCAGGTAATAAATACTTTCCATCCATTCTACCCTTTTTCCTTCACTGTAGGTAGGTTCAGACGCCTCCTGGGCTGAAACCCAACCCCCTGTTACCTGGGACTTCAGCCTCTTAAAACTATGTGCCTGTTCCATTTCCTGCCCCTTGTCTAACTAGGTTTAGTGTACCCCTTACTACACACTCAGCCCTGAACTTTTTCAATCTGTCTTGGACTGATCTTAGTTACAGATTTTCCATAAGGCACATGAAGACAGCCAAAGCCGTGAGTTGAGCATCTGCATAATGGCCTGGATCCCACCTTATATTATTGGCACGATGCTTATTGTATATCATCTACTGCTTCGAGCTCCCTCTTCCCCAGTCAGCCTAACATTCATTCCAATAAAAGTGAAAAACCAAAGCCTGTCCAGTTTGAGAAGAGGAACCAATTTTCCCTCTCCTTACTAATCTCTTCCATAAGGAAGGCTGAGCGCCAAAGAATTGATGCCTTTGAATTGTGGTGCTGAAGGAGACTCGTGCAAGTCCCTTGGACTGCAAGGCGATCAAACCAGTCAGTCCTAGAGGAGATCAACCCTGACTGCTCTTTAGAAGGCCAGACACTGAAGATGAAACTCAAGTACTTTGGCCACCTAATGAGAAGGAAGGACTCCCTGGAGAAGAGCCTAATGCTGGGAACAATTGATGGCAAAAGAAGGAGGGGACGGCAGAGAGTGAGGTGGCTAGATGGAGTCACTGAGGCAGTTGGTGTGAGCTTGAGTGGACTCTGGGGGATGGTGGAGGACAGGAAGGCCTGGAGGAATGTTGTCCATGGGGTTGCGATGGGTTGGACACGGCTTCGTGACTAACAACAACATTCCTATGGCCCAAGTGCAAGACCTTGCACTTATCCACATTGAAT